AAAATGTTTTACTCTTGAAAGAGTTCATCCAATTCTGGTCTTTGATTAATCAATTGATAGAATATAAGGAACTCTTCCCAGTCTAGTGTGTGATCTCCTGTCAAATCTCTTCTATTCATTTTATGTTTGGTGTGAGCCATCTGTACATTGCAATTAATTAACAATAATTTATTTCTTCAATACATTTATTTAAATCAATGTCAAAACACTCACATCGAAGAAGGCTTTGGCGTGTTTTTCATTCAAACATATGTTTATTCGACTCAAAAGACAAACCACTTCTTTGAAACACAGATTTCCGTTCTTATTCTTGTCCGCCTCTCGGAACTGCTTCTTCAGCCAACTGTTAGACAATCATTAAAATTGATATCAATTACTAAATAATTTCCAATTAACCATATTATGTGACAAATCATACACAATACATACACATCGTATTCTTCATTAATGTTTTGGTTTTTATAACTGGCGATCAAAAAATTCAATCCCTTTACCCACACATCGCGTGTCTCGACATTAGGCGCCACTAAGTCTTCGGTTTTGATGCCGTTGTCGAAAATTAGTGAAAAACAGTTATTTTCTTCGAGTTGTGGCAAATTCTTTGGCCCAATAGAGGCGTGAAGTTTGCGCCTAAATCTGGACTCAATTACATTATAGCAATCAGATTCCCAACCCTTTCGCACTTCCGAGAGATCGCATAAATCAACTGAAAATATAAAAATTTTATAATGTTGTACTGAATCGGTGAAAGAGGGCAAGTATTAGATCAAGTAATCATTTAGATGACCGCTCTTATTGTTGGACACAATAAGACATAGCATTTACACAACGTGGAGAAAGTGCTCTGAAATGTGCATAATTTAAAAGCGTATCGTCTCTATGCTTACAATAGGGCACATCTTTACACATGAAAGGTTTGATTGAAGGCTCGTAATGGAGTTGCATTGTGTCCAAATCGATGTGATATTTACGGCAAACAAACTTATCCAATGACCTAACCTTATGGAAACACGTCCTCTCATTCAGTTTATATATGGCCTCTTCATTGGGAACGTTCTCGTCTGCAACCAATTTAAGTGTTTTAATTATTAAAACATAACAATTATATATTAGTAAAATTTTTCAAATTAATACAATTATATGAAAATGTTTTTATACATACCGTTAAACATGCCCCGAATACTTCTGGCACTTTTAGGCCTCAATCGACTCCTTCTGTTAGCAGTGGCTGTGTTTCAAGTTTTCGACAATTAGTTTTAATTATGTCTATTGTTTTGATTATTTTAATTTTGAAGTTTACTCTTGTTATCTCTGATCACAACTCAATCACATATAATAACGTAAATAATGGTTCAATACTGACCGTCCGGTATATCAACCACTATTTTTTCATCTTTCTTCCGCTCTTCTACCTCTTCGTCCACTTTAATCAGTTTCTCCGTCTGTTTGCTATCCATTCGCACAAAACTTATTCCTCGCATTAAAATTTTGCCTTTTTGTACAGTATTTTTTGCATAAAAAATAAGTTTTTAAAGTAAGGTATTGCTATATATTATGTTTGATTAGTCAATTGTCAATTTTAAANCATTTGTTTATAAATTAATGTTTATTTGGAGTTCAATTACATAACAGTCAAAATATATGATATAAAACCGAAAAGCAATTCATACTGTATTTATAATTACGATATAATCTTATGAATTATTAATGCATTGATTTATACGCCGAGTCATTAGTTTTCGTTTCAATTTATAGTAGTTTTTCTTTCATAAAAACTCAACAAAATTCTGTTTGAGTTAATAATAAATGAATTAAAATAAATCACTCTTTTTGTGAATTTATAATACAATGCAATGATTTTAATGCGAATAATTGTTTCATATATTTCTCTATAGTTTAACGAACTTTTTCTCATCAAACGATTTAAGAGATTTCATACTATAATTGAATTGAAATACTTAACTATTGTTTTAGTTTTCATACTTAAAACCCATATAAGTCTCGATTTATGTAATTAAATCAAACAAATCTAATGAGGGTTTCGTTTGCACCACAATAACAGAGCAAACTATCTATTAAACGCATACATCGTTAAAATTAAACCAAAAAATTAATTTTTTTATCATTTTTAGCACAAAACAAACAATATTTCAGAGCAAACAAAACCAGAAATTAATTTCCAAACAAAACTCCTATAACTTTAACAATAGTTAAATATTTTTTGAAAATAAGTCATTATTACAAACCATAATAACGGGAACTCCAATAGTAATTGAATAGAAGAGTTCGTCACTAAATGCGGTCATCACTGGCTTTGAATGGTCGCCAAATGTGGGCCGAAATGGCATCGAAATGGTCTTATCGTCGCAATAGAAACCTCTGACGAGTACACCAAACGAGTCGGTAAACCGTAGAAAGTATGCCAAACTCGAGAGACACGCCAACGACAGGAACTCCATTATAAAAATGGGCAAAATATTGGCCGACACTTTGGTCTCGACGATCTCGTTGCTCATCTCATGGCTCTTGTCTTTCAATATATCGTTTGCGACAATAATCCGGTCGTCGTTTGACACTAAGGTGTCCGACATTGGTATTGAGTCCATGGCTATGGAGTGCCGGAAAAGCGTTGAATTTCCGGCCGATCGCAGCGACAACGGCGCCGAAGAGCGCAGCGAATTGGCTGCTGATGGCGGCGGCGGACCCGCTCCGGGCGGACACGAGTGTCGATTCATATGACTGTGATATCGAGGTATAGAGCCGTTCGTATGCATTACAATAGGTTTTGGTGTTTGATTGCTGAAGTTTTTGCACACAATTACTCAATACATGCGCTAATAATTGATTGATTGCACACTTAAAGCAATTTATAAAACATATCATTCATTTGCTCTGTGTTTGGCGTTTATCAGCGAAACGCCCGACACTTCTATACACAACACAAACGCCGTATAACTCAATACAAACTAATCGTAAAAACTTAATACAAGTGTAAAACTATATAAACCGAAACATAAAATGCGAGAAAATTATTATGATTTTTGGGCAAACAATTTGAAAAGTAGTGATTAGGAAGGGAGGGAAGGGTTGCTGTTGTTATTAAGTTGTATCGTTCACTTCACACTCCCGGTGCTCTGCAATACGTGTATGCGTTCAGCGCTTTAAACTCGAATCGCACAAAACAAATGCAAAAACTTTTTTCAATAAACAAACTTTTCTTCTGTTTTGCAAAAAAAAGTTTTCTCTTATTTAAAGTACAAAAACTGATTCAACACTTCGTGACAAATATTTAATAAGATATTACAGACGGGAAAAATGTATTGCACTTTTGGATGTGTTGTATGGATGGGCTGTTGGCTTATGGTGTGAGTGCTCTGTTAGAGTCTGTCAGCTAACGATTCCACTGAAATGTAAACTGAATTTAAATTCATAGACACGACTTTCAACACCGGCTCTACCTTTAGATTGAGTACAAAGTTATCCAAATTGAGAGAGAGAGAGAGAGAGAATGAGGAGAGGAGGAGTGAGGAAACTGTTAAGTATTTGACAAACAATGGTAAATGTATTGGGAATTTTGTGACAAACATAATGTCTACACTATATTAGGAAATGAATAACAATTATTATTGCAAAATCAGAATACCATAAATACTAAACACAGCATTTCGTGTGAAAAACTACCGCAAAAACTAATATAAATATGTATTAAATTACTTCAATAATTCTCTCTCTCTCTCTCTCTCTCTCTCTCTCTCTCTCTCT